GCAGGAATTTCCAACTTTACTAAAGCACTGTGTTTCAATTATTAAAGAATGTGGCCTTGGCTTTCTTTCATATAACTTGCTTTTTTTTCCCTTTTAGTATTTGTAACTTAAAATATTTTTCATCCTTAGGAGGAGGGCTGTCTCTTCCAAACGTTGCTGAGAGCTTAAGCAGTACTTTACAAGATGCCAATGAAATGGTAAGGAAATGTTTCACAAGGAAATGGGGTTAGTGTGGTATTCTACCATGAGCATCTTCATAAATTGGATGTGCTTTAAAGATTTTCACTTGTAGACTTTCAAAATTTATGCTTTTAAACTGTATGCTCACAAAGAAATTCAGAGCCCAAAGAAAAAAAAAAACACATTGTACACACTAATTTATATTAAAAAAAGTTGAGTGACTTCCATACTTCCGTAGGTGAGAGATAGCTAAAACTCATTTTAATTTCTTTATTGTTTTTAGTTTTGAGACATCTTAAATGGAATAGAATGTTGTTATGCTCTGAGCTGCTTCAGCTTTGAGCCATCTTTTAATTGCTTGTGTGCTTTAATTATTAGAGTAGGTTAGTTGGGGCTAGAATTAGTTAAAGCTTCTGAAGACTTCGGTATAGTTTATCTGATGTCTCCTGTAGTCCATTGCCCTGGTCAAGGTATCTTCCATTCCCTTTCTCTTTTAGCACTTCTCCTCAAATGTCTGGACTTGCCCTCTCTGACTTTATATAATGCCTCTTGATAGAACTTAGGTGTCATAAAAATGACAGTATCAAGTAGAGCAATGCTGTGCTTAAAACTGACTGTTTTCTTTATGAAATAATTAAAAAACTGCTAGTGAAATTGCAATAGTATTGACTGGAAGGGTCCTCCAGAGGGATTTCTGAAAACTGCTTGGGCTACCTCCACAGCACATCTGGAAGATGTCCTCATAGTTGAAATCAGCCATGAGGATGAAGGCCTGGAATCATCAGACCCCTGTTGATGTTGTGTAGAAAGCTTCCTCTTACTTTCTCTTAGATGCTTTGAAACAGACCCTGCCCTCAACATGCCCCATGTTTCTTTCCCTTCCGATCCTGACTCAGGATCATCAGCAGGGATATGGAGGTCTGTGAATTCAAAGAATGATTTCCCTGGGACTGAAAACTGGCTGAGCTACTGGGCTGAAAGGGATATGAAAGTCCAACTGGAGGCCAGTCACTAGTGGTGTATGGTAGGGGTCAATACTAGCCCAGTGCTGTTTAACATGTTCAGTAATGACCTAGATGGTGGGATAGACTGCATCATCAAAATTGGTTGATACACTAGAGGATTGTGCCACCACTCTGAAGGACCTCACCAGGCTAAAGACATGGGCTGACAGGAGTGTCATTAGGTTCAACAAGGAGAAATGCCAAGTCCTGCACCCAAGGAGGGGCAGCTCCATGCACTAGTACACACTGGATGCTGACTGACCAGATAAAAGCTTTGCAGAACAGAACCTAAAGAGCCTGGGGATCCTGGTCGACAAGTTGAACATGGCCAGCAGTGCCCTTGTGGCAAAGGTGGCCACCATCATCCTTTGATACATTGGGAAGAACATTGCCAACAGGTCAAGGGAGGTGGTCCTTCCTCTTCACTCAGTACTGGTGGGACAGCGTGTGGCTTATTGTGTCTGGGTATGGGGTGTCCACTACAAGAAAGATAAAGATTTACTGGAATGAGTCAGCAAATGACTGTGAAAATAATTAAGGAATTGGTGCATCTGTCATACTGAGAGAGCTTGGATTGTTTAGCCTGGAGAAAAGAAAGCTCTGGGGGGGTCTTACCAATGTGCATAAATACCCAGTGGAAAGAAGCGAGGAAGACAGAGCCAGATTATTCTGAGTGGTATTCAGTGGAAGACAGGAGGCAGTGGTCAGAGATTGAAACTCAGGAAATTCCTTTTAAACGTAAATGTTTTTACTGTGGGGATGGCCAAACACTGGAAGAGGTGCTGCCTCGAGCAGATGGATTGGACTGGACAATCTCCAGAGGTCCCTTTTAACCTCACTAATGCAAAGTTTAAATGTTGTAGAGTTAGGAGTCCACTTTTCTTCTCCCTGCCTTCCTTTCCTAAACATTTCTACCCATACCTGGTCATACTTTGCCTGTGCATACTTCTTGATTGCTAAGGTGTTCTCCCATCTCTTTGTCAGCTGAGTTGTAACTCCTTCCGATAGTCCTTCATCCTCAAACTAGGCTCTCTGGTTGAGGAATCTAAACTCTTGGGAGCTTCAGCCAGATCATTGCTACCAACCAGTATGTGTGAGGATTTAACTGTTTCTCTGAGCTTTGGAGGCCTAAAGGACCTTGTTCTTCTCCAAGTGTTGCAGTCTTTGTATCAAATAAAGACTGTGCATGCCTGTGGGTAAAAGGAGAAAGCATTGTGTCATCAGTCTGTTTTTTACATGCCTAGATTTTTGTGACACATGTTCAAAGTGTGGAAACTGTAACAGCTTACTATAAAAGAAGAGTTTAATTATGAACTGAAATAAGAAGGATTCAAGCTCCTACAAAAAAAAAATAGGTTTGGATCATTTTTTATGTGGCTTTTGTTTCTTTGTTTTAGGATTATGATCCTCCCAGTGAAGGGCAAGTGCTGAGACGTCCAGATAAAGTCTATCACAGAGATCCTGTCCTGACTCTTTTAGCCAAATTAAACCAAGTACCTGTTGCTGCAGAAGAAGAAATGTACCATTTGGAGGTAACTGCTTTTCCTTCCAACACAGTAGTTTTGAAGTGATAATTTCCTATTCAAAAGTCGATAAAATACTTTGAGCTTATCTTTCCTGTTGGCTGTGGAACAGGCTCATACACTTCATTCCCTGCTGGAAGAGGTCCCACTTCTCTTGGCTATGTTCTCATGTAAAACCTCCTCAAAATAGTGAAGGTTACGTGTTGTTACAGACAAGCTAGCTGTACAGAGTATCACATGGAACTAGTTTTCAAGGAGTATCCCAGATTTGTCCTGTCCTTTTGAATACCAGGGAAGTTTTCTGTCTCTTCAGCAGTATAGGTGGTATGCTTAACACTGCAAGCTGACTGCACTGAACAGCCATAGGAGTCGTTTAGGGAGGTACAAAGAACAACTCAGCAAGCGTTATGTGCACTTGTGCACGTGCTGTTGATACTGGTCTTGGAACAAAGCCTCAAAGTATTCATATTCAGTTGGCAGAAAAAATAGACTAACAGAAAAATAACAATCTGCATCACAAAGGACAAAAGTAATTTTTTTTTTGTCACACATTGAAGTGTTTTCTCTGTGGGAAGTAGTTTGGACTGGGCATCTATTCTAACTGACATAGCTGGAGGAATGTTCAAAGGAAGTGAACTTTGAACACTACAGTATGGTTCATGAACACCTTTATTTAAAGCAGCTCTTGCTTTTTGTTGATTATATTGATGCATATGCAGTTTCTTCCTTCTGTCTTGGTCAGTTTAGTCTAAATAATTGCTAACTTCACTCACGTCCTTAACTGTTTCTTTGTTGTCTTTATTTTGCTTAATGAGCTCTGGTGGATGCACTTAGTGAAAAGCTTTCTATGGTGTCAGCTCTGAGTCTGCCTGTAATTGTAGTGACATTTTCTCATCAGCACTGCCAATTAGAGATGCATCTTTAGTTTGCTTTTTCCCTTTCCCATAGTCACAGACTGCTCAGTTTGTCCATACAAGACACTTAATAAGCTTCCCCCCACCACCAGATTCTGGCAAGGTGTGTGCAACCATAACTTTTGATTTATAAAAGAAAGAATATTTTCCTAGATGTTTCTTGTGTTACCTTAGAATGATGACACACACATGTATGCATGTGTATTCAACGTGGTTTCCTGCACAGAAGCAAGCTAGGTTTTTCTCTGCAGCCTTGAAAATCAGAATCCAGAGGACCATCCCTGTATTGTGCCACCCAAACATACTTAAAGCTAGAACTTTTTAATCTAATGTTCTATAAAACAGAGTCAGTAGCTTTCAGATGCTTCCAGTGTTACAAGCCCAGGCAGTCAACAGTAACCACATGTGACATGAAAGACTTCATGTGCTAAAAATATACCTTAGGTTCTGACCATGCTGGGGTATCACTAACAAAGTAAGTGATGTTGTTTGGCTGTAAGTGATTCTTTTCTGTCCAGTACTGATAAATGTAGATCTTTCAAACCCAGTTAGATGATGTCTTCTCAGTTTTGGTTTTCTACTCAATTCTAATAATATAGACTTAAGCTTAGCTATGCTTTAAAAGAGTTAATGTAATTAGCTAACAATGCCTGGTTTTAGTAGATATGCATTGGGGGGGTTTATACCTGCTGTTCTGATGTTGCTGTTCTGTGTAGGATTCTGAGGAGAGTGCTGGGGAGCTCAGTGAAGGTCAAAGGCCGAGGCTGACCAGAGCAGCAGAGAGAATCCTAATGGGCCATCCTCCAGTCTGTGTGGGCCATCCAGCTGCTGGGACTCCTGGGAACAGACCACAGCCAGGCTTCCGGCCGACATCACCAGGGCAGCTTGCCCAAACTCCAGGTACCATTAAACTGATGTTTCTTCTTGCTGATATTTATGTAGATTATGAGGATTTTCTGTAACAGGATCTGAAATAATTTCTGAGAATATATTCAAAATTTTTTAAAAAATACAGGCAGTTGCTGCAATGAAATTATTAATGTTCATGTTCTGAGAACTGAATTTAATTCAAACCTTGTCCTCGCTCTTCTTTGTCTGTAATATTCTACAATTTGAACAAAAATCATGGCAAGTACCCACTTTCCTATACAAAAGTTGACTTGTAAAGTAGGTATTTTGTTCTTTTAAGTCAAATTCAGTTCCCAAAATCGCTTAGCTTGGCCATTCTTGAAGCTGTTTTCCACAGGAGAGGCATTAGCACCAGCAGTTCAAGCTACTTCTCTCTGTCCCCTTACACAGCACTCCTCACTGTTTTTATCACTCCATCAAAGTGATGCTGTAGTATCTCATAATCAGGTATATATTTTAGCTTCATATATTCCAACAACGTAGAAGTTCTTTTTTTCCTAGATGGAGAACTGGGGCATACATGTAGTGGCTTGTACAAAGTAGTGCAGGAGTAAGTTGCTGTAGTAAAGCAAAGAATTAATTAATTTCAGTTGAAACTAGTGCTGTAATCAATGTTCTGTCCTTCCTCTCCCTTATTTTTTATTCCAGTTTCTCCCCTGTTATCTCAATATGTACTTCTATACTTGCATAAACTGCTGCAAGCATGTAGAAACCCCTCATTTTGTTGACTGTGCTTTTAGATATGATTAAACTAATAATTACTAAGCTATTACAGCACAAATGTGGTTGCACTGATTCATCCAAACTTGTGTAAACTAAAGTGATCAAACAGCTGGGTTTCTGTCCTCTTCATCAGAAGCATATCTCACATTATCAACCCTTAACCAGTAAGAAGTGGACTGAATGTATTCAACATGTGGCAAAAATAACCTCAGAAATATTTGCTTAGTTTTGAACTGATTCACATTTTTAACTGGTTACACAGAGTAAGCTTTTTAAGCTGGCTGTTACCTAACATTCTGGACCAGTTACACCACTGTCAGCCATTACTTTCAAGTAGAAGTCTGATAATACACAGTTTGTTGGATGTCATTTGGAGGTTGGTTGCCTCAGGCTCCCTAGCATAAGACATTTCTGTCAGTAACTTGTTTAGCACTGTTGCCAGAGGACAGTCAGCCTTAAGAACATTGTGATGGAGGAATACACTAGTGATATAGATCAGTCTGTGGTAAGTCTCCAGCAGTGCACAGGACCACAGAGAGAGTTAGAAGATGTGTGTTAATGGGAGAACCTGTCTACTAGGGATATTTCCTTACCCAGACTGTCCATAACTGTAGCTGGCATAACATGTTTGTATCTCCTCTATCTTTGCTTTTAAAATTGATTTAATTTAATATAGGATGCCCTTTGTCTGTCCTGTAAATATCTAACACTTCACAACCAGCTTCTTCATGTGGTCATCATCTATAAACAGTGTCTTCCTCTAGTGTTTTTTTTTTATGGTCATCTCTCTAAATTTTATAGTATTGTTTCTCTTGTAGTACTTTTTTTGAGAGGAGTCAAGTGCCCTGGACTAACTACCACAGGGGAATGGTCTGTGCTTTTACATAATCTGTAATAATTCCAGACTGAGTTCTGTTGTGTTCTGATGACTTCTAATTTAGCTGCCCTCCCTCCCCACCTCTGAACACACAGTGCAGTATTCACTGACACTGATAAGAAACTGTATAAAAGCTAGGATCTGCTTTCAAGACAGGATTGTTTTCATACTAGGGAGGAACAGAAAATCTTCTTTCCAAGTCCTTTTGATGGTGAAGTCAACACTGAATAGGAAACAGTCTGTTCTTGGAGGGTTGAGGGCTGAAGGAAAGAACTGTGATTGGTTTCCATTTCTACTTTTCTACCAAATCTTTTGTATCTGTCCCTGGTATGTGAGACTGCAAGTCAGGACTAAGTTATTTCCTGGTAGCTACAACAGTTACAATGCAGGGTCATTGCTTTCTTTGATAATTATTTTTAGGGGTAAAATAGAACGATAGTTACACCAAGGGGTGTAAAAATTCATATTCAGGGTGTACATATAACCTTGCAGTGGATACTCAGTTTCTCTCTCAGAATGAGTCAGTCATAAATACCTTATTGACTGGGGGTTATGTGTCCATGGGTGTCTTCAGCATTGTGACCAGTTGTATTATGGAAACCTGATGTCTATTGGTGGGATGGAGCAGGTGTTTTTTGGGTAGGTATATAGCAGCTCCTTGATCATCAGTCTTTGATTTATAAATCCTTGTTTTCAGTTCTTAGTCATGGATATAAAAAACAACACGCAAATGAAATGGGGCACATGTAGTCTTAAAGTGAACAATAATTGCAGTTAATTAAGCAATTTCTATAGTTAATTAGGCTTCAAATGCATTCCTTGGCTCTCTGGTAGCAGAAAGTTAGAGTTGGTTCTTGAGCTGTCAGTACCTTTTTCATAAAGATGCTTTACACATTTCCAGGCTGCAAAAGCATGACAGATGCTGGATTATATACCAGATTCTCCCTTTAAAAAATATGATAGCCACGTTTCTTTCCACACAGCAGTGAAACATTTTCATGAAGAAGCCTTCCCAATCTCTTTCCAGGGTATGTGATGAAGCTCATTAAGCATATAATGATATGATGAACAGTAGAGCTTTGAAGCTATCCTAAATGGTTGCCTTGCTAGAAATCTGCAGATGATAAAACTGATTTATTTTTTCAATTTCCACAGACATGTATTTCTTTTTTCTCTCCCCCACCCTCACCCCCAAACAATTTAAGGGGTATACAGTGAGCCACATAAAGAGAAAATAAGTCTTTTTAAAGTTGCATGTCCTGTTGTTGAATCTTGAAAGACTGCACGTCCTGCCACACAGGTTGACCAGGAAATGATTGCTCCAGCTCATCAAGGAATTTTTTTTCACTTTATTTTTCTCCTTCAGCAGAGATTCTTGGAGATGCAGATACAAGTCATGGTCCAATGCTTTTGGCTGAACTGGAATCAGAACCAGTTTCAAACCCTGTTCTGCAAGCAGCCCAATCAGGCTGCAGGGAGACATCTCTCTCAGAGGATCTGTCTCAGGTAGACTTGAAGGATCTTTTCTATGGCTAGTCAGAAAGTACAAACTGAAGCTTAGGAAAATAAATTTTCCTATTTCACTGTCATCACAGAACTGGCATATTTTAAGTGACACATTCAGCTGAAAAACTGAAGTCTAAATTGTGCATACTAAAAATTATTGTGCTTACTGTGGTGGAATCCTTAACAATGTGCTTTCTGCTGGGCTCAGGCCTCCTCTTTTACTTTGTCTGTACTTCCTCACAGTTTCACTGGCTTCACAGGATCTAATGCTATACACACTTGGTTCAGGTGGGACAATCCAATGTTTTGCATAGTGCTTCAAATACAGAAGAATGACATGATGGATATATGGGAGAAGAAGCAACATTATAGAGATTTGGCCTCATTAATTGTAACCTGCTGATTCAGCATTTTAGGAACTTTGTCCTAGTAGGGGCAGGGAAGGAAAGGCAGAAATCATGATGTACATCAGAATACTTGCAGATGGAGGGAGATCCTATTGATTAATATAAGAGTGGTAGACCACTGTAATGGGCTGCCCAGGGAGGTGGTAGAGGTCCCATCCCTGGAATCATTTAAGGTCAGGCTTGATAGGGCTCTGGGGGACCTGACCTAGGTAGAGATGTCCTTACTTGTGTGTGGAGGTTGAACCAGATGACTTCTAGAGGTCACATCCAGCCTAAAACATTCTATGATTCTATCTCTAGTTGAAACCTATGAAGTTAGTCCATTGCTACTTTACTAATATGTGCTGTTACCTAGAGATGATGGTTCACTTGCTAAGTAAAGATAATTTCAAACAGAGAGTGGCAAAAGCTAAAAATGAGGTGTCAGACTACTCTATAATATGTTAAACTTCACAGTGTGTTTAAAAGTAGTACTATACTTCCCATGAATGCTATGTCCATGGATGCATTCTGTCCTTCCCTGATGTTCTGTGTTAAAAATAACCTGAAGTATCTTATATCAACCTGTCTCTGGTTTTATGTTTTTGAGCCTTGATGTGTGTCATGCCATTGGTGTCTGAGCAGTTCTTAAATGTCATCTGAAGTGATGTGTTGCACCTTCAAAGAGGATATTAAATGTTATACCTCTTTCACTTAGAGTTCATTGGAACCTGTTATTACTTGAAGTGATTGTTCCCAGGCAAGAATGGACTCTGTTAATCCTCTCTCTGTTGGGGTTAAGCTCCTATCTTTGTTACCATTTCGCTATCCAAAAGTAAATGGGACAGAGGGTAAAACATTTTTCCTTCTTTTAATAGCATTAGCTGTGATAGAGAAGATGGTGATACCTGCATCTCATGCTCTGGAGAATTACCTGATGGGGTTAGGATTGAATTTTGTTTGCCTGGCTACAGGCAAATCATAATGTACAATGTGTGGGATTACCCACATATGTAGTCTTAGACATAGAAGGTGATCTGGCAAAGTGTCTTTCATAGAAAATACACAGATAGTTATAGATTATCTTCTTTAATATGTAGATAGTTATATATTCTCTTATCTTTACAAACTTACTTGCATCTGAACTCTTAGTGTGTGGTGGTTTTTGTTTGTTTGTTTTTTTTTTGCCTGCTGGCATGTAAAACTCACCCTCCTTCCAAACCAAACAACCCCCTGAACTTTGTGTGTGTGGTTTTGTTTGTTTTGTTTTATTGCCCTAAACAAAATAATCTCTTCCTGTTTGTAGGTGCTCCTGATGTAAGACTCTAAATCACTGTTTCTCACAGGCTTTTTAGCTTTTCTATGACGTGACCATTCCTGTCCTGGATGGGGCAAAGCCATGCTCCATGAGATCATCTGCTAGATCTGTACCTGCTCCGCTGAAAAAACACCAGCTCTACACCAGATGATTTGAAAGCCTGTTTTGACAGCATCTATCTACCATATAACAATGATGAACCTTTCCTCTAATTTCAATTAGAGATGGCATCTGTGTTCTGATCTACGGCTGGATCTGCTTTGTCACTTGCTTGTAGGAAACAGGTTTTCTGATAACATCATCTAAGAGAGCGAGAGATACTTGGGCTTTCAGAATGATTCATTCTGTGCAATGTTTAAGGTGATAATCACCTTCAATTTCTTAAAAGGTTTCCTTCCAAGTTAGTCACCGACTCTCACATCAGGTGTTTCACATCTTGTTTTTCATCTGTAGGCAGTGCTTGCCTTCACTGAAATGAAAGATTTTTCAGATATGTACAAAACAAGAAGATGAGCCTATTTAGGAGGAAAACTAGGCTTTTTGTGGTGTTTGCTGAGAGACCTGAGAAAAAATCCACTGTATTTCAGGTGTTGTCCAGCTGGGCCTTGGGTTTGGTAGAGCTTTGTTCTGATTTGACTGAAAATGACCTTTCTGGATGTTAGGGTTTTTTATGGCAAAGCTTGGGTGATGGCTGTACTCTGAGCAGGGCCCTCGTTTCAGGGAGGTTGTGGGCAGTGATGTGGAGCTGCCATATACATGCCACTTGTTTGCTCCCTGGTACCAGTGCATAGATAAGAATTTGACCAAGAGAAAGAGCGTTATCTTTTCATGTAGGGCAGGAGCAAATGCCTTTTAGACACAAAGAGTGAAGTCTGTGTGGTCACTCACTCCAAAACAAATGGCTTAAGTCATACAGGAATTTTCTTATCTACCCAAATTCCTTGGCTGCTCCTCCATTTTAGGCATTAGATGTCTTTGAGATTTATATATGCTTTTAGCCACTGTTAGACAGAATAACAGACTAAATGCATCTTTGGTTTGACCACTTCTGTCCATTCTTGTGCAACAATACAGGAGTTGACTGTTATTTGTGATCACTTTGCCCTGCTGCTCATAGCTCTCAGAAGCAAGATAATGCCTAGGAGGTGCTGGGCTCTTCCTGTTCTAGATAAACCATTTTGATCATGGGAGAGACGTGAACATTGAAGACATATTTGTGTGGCTAAACATTTCAAAGATGGTCAATCTAAATCATTTGAAGTCCCAAAAGCATTGTTAAAATCTTAGAAAATCAGTTGGTTGCAAAATATTTTCCTGATGTTCTTATAGAAGTATGAATGTTTTTATACAATCAACATTTTTTAAGTGGGATTGTCACTTTGGTATTCTCATTAGCTTTCATTTTTAGTATTTCAAAAGACAGGGTTTTTTTAACCCTTCAGGAATGTGTAATTGTAGGTTATGAATCTGTGTTATCTTTCAAATTCTGTTTGCACCTCAGTTCAGTTTCAACTGGTTTTTGGGTTGTCTTATTAAAAATCCAAAACAAAACCAAACCACTTCAAATGGACTCATGAGTACAGAGTTATGCTGCTTGCATTTAATATTCTGGAACACTGGTGGCCTTCAGTCACATTTACGTCAGACCTTCCTGCTTTCAAAAAACCATCTCAACTCTTTCTTACCTTGTCAACTTTAAATGATGAGCAGAGTTGTTTCACCATCGTGGTGTGTAGAGGTGCCCAAGTTAACACCAATCCCAGCTGGTCTGTCCATGCACATAGTGCCTTGTGGAGATGCTCACTTCATCTCAGTTGCATATATATTCACTTTTGTCACCTTATGCTTGTGGCTGTGCTGGTGAGGTTGTGTTGGTGCTTGTTAAAGATGAGATACTATCTATTAGTGTAGCCCTCTCTATGCTTCATTTACTGGGGAGTGTGAAGAAGTCCATGCAGCTGTTGAGGAAAAAACAATAATGAAATGCCTTATCTTTTTGTTCCTCCTGATTTTTGCAACACTGGTTTAAATGGTCGTTAAGTACATGAGAAACAATATCATGACTGTTGAGTTACCCGCTATTGTAGGAGACAGTTATTAGCTGAAAGAAATCAGATGCCCTGATTGCTTAGTTGGTACCATGATTATTGTTTGCTAGACATAAATATTTTCTTCTTTTCACCTATATTTTTGGCTTTTTCACTTATGGCCTCCACAGTAGTGGAGGGTTCTCTTACAGAACAGAAGCATACTTTCCTTTCTCTTCCCTTTTTTAGCATTTGGGGAGTAGAATACCACTGGTGGTTTGTCACCAGGTCTTCAAGAGAATACCTGTCGCATTGCCTCTCAGGACATAACAGTTTTCTCAGAAGTCACAGAGCAATTCTGTCTGTAGGCTCCAAATGCTGTGATGTGCAAACGTGATCTTTCTTGCTTTCCTCTAAGAATCTGCATTTAAAATCTCATATCAGCAGAATAATTGATGAAATCAAATAATTCTGTCTTAGAGAATGCTTAAGTGTTCCAGAATTCTGTGACATTGTTCTGCAGTTTTCATGTTTTCTGTCTATGTGTAGTGGAATGTCCTTGGGCCACAGCTGCTGTTTAAGTTAATGCATAAGATGACAAGTGACTTGACAAGTGTGATGTCTCCCTTTTTAACACACAAAGTGTTTGTTCCTTCTAAGAAGCTGTTTTCATAGGTATTGCTGCAGAGCTACATCCTGAAGAGCATAGAATCATAAAATTGTTCTGGTTGGAAGAGATCTTCAAGGCCATCAAGTCCAACTGTTAACCCAGCACTTCCAGGGCACCACTAACCCATGTCCCTCAGCACCACATCTCCACGGCTTTGGAATCCCTCCAGGAATGGGGACTCCACCACTGCCCTGGGCAGCCTCTTCCAGGGCTTGACAACCCTTTTGGGGAAGACATTTATCCTCATGTCCAACCTAAACCTCCCCTGGCTCAATGTGAGGCCCTTTTCTCTTGTCTTAACACTTGTGAGAAGAGACCATCACCAACTGCTCTACAACCTCCTTTCTGGTAGTTAGGCTAAACCACCCCAGTTTTTCAAGAACCCAAAATTTCAGGTAGAGTGGAAAGCAGTTTTAAAAACATGGTCAAGGAAATAAACTATAGACTTGGCATGGATTTTTGAACATGTGTGCTGAAATTTATATTTTTCTTTTCCCTTTCAACTTTCTCTTCTTACTCAGGAGGATAATACCTAGGGATAAGTCCTGGGTATTGAAGAAAACCAGAGAAATCTGATGTTCTTTCCACTACACGCTTTGAGTAGAAATTGAGGGTCTCTTGTGTCTCCAGGTCTAAATGGCACTTTGCCTTATCTGCTGCTCCCAGGATGTTCATCTAGAGGAAGCAGCATTGCAGTGGGCTAATGCAGATCTGAATTCTTGTGAAGTCAAAAGGAAGGAGAAAAAGTGCATTCCTTTAATGAATCTTTAAAAACCTCTTCGGATGTTTCTTAAAGCTGCATGTAATTTTACTGTGCTTTTACATCAAAAGTCAGATTTGTAATATGATTTTAATGTATGATCTATAGGAGGAATTCCAAGGAGCTGCCCAGGTTGAGACTGTGAGACCCCGAGTTATTCTTGTGAGAACCAAGTCTGAAGAGATGCAACAAGAAGGTAAATCAATGTCAATAAGCAAACATAGTTCTTTAAGTTAAGCACATCACTTAAATGTTGTTGTATGATGATGTACCATAAATTTGTTTTTTTTTTTTTTTTAATAAATTTGGTTTTCACTACTACCAAATTCCCAAACATCTAATAGTGTGCATAAATCTGTGTACATAGTTACGACACTGGTGGGGTATGCTGAAAGGATTAGAAATGTATCTGTATATAAGTCATCAGAATCCTTGCAGTTAAGTATTTATTTGAATTTTTATTTGCCAAGAGCATTGCCATGTGCATATTATGTAGTCAGCTGAATCTTAATTGCTTTATAAAATGCTGTTCAGCAAACAAAATATTCATAATTTTGTGATAGATGGCAGTGGTTCATGTGCATGAGAACATGCAGGGGTGCTAGAGGAGAACTGAAAGATAACACAGAGTTAAGATCATGCAAATGTGGGGGGAAAAAAGAAGATTTTAAATGTTAAAATGGCCTGATTTGGGATGGGCTTCAAGCAAGTGTGTAACTGATCTTCTTTTATGATGGACACTATGTATTACCTATTCATAATTCTATTTTTGGAGATTACTTAATAGTGTTTGTTCTAGAGAGAATATTTTTTGTGTATTGTAGTTCAGGCCAGTGTTGATGTAACATAAACTGTGCATATCACTGCCATATGTAATTGTTTTAGCAGATACAAAGTTTGTGGAGGTGGTAGTGAGATGTGTAGCAGTTTTAATCATAGGTGCTAGGAACAGGAAGCCAAAAACCTGCATGCCTGAAATATATGCAATTATACTTGCTCCACCTGGGTGTAGAGAATTTCTTCCTTCAAGCCCTTTTAAAAGTAATTCTTTGAACTTCTTCCATTTAATTTTTTTTTAAAAAACATCTATAAATTATAATTTTGATGGAATTATTTTGTTTCAAATATTCATGAGTGTTACAAAACGCCTCAGGCCAATGTTATTGGCTGTGGAACTCGGAATCTAATTTAAAACCTCTGGTTTACATAGGGAGAAAGTTATGAATAATGTAAAACTTAGGTTCTATGGACAATTAGTGGTAAAGCTTCCAGAACTGAAGTAGCAAACCTTAGTACCCATGTGTGTTTTGTTTTAGGGACGTTTATCAACATGTATTTGTAAAGTGGGTAAACAAAGACTTAATTTATTAAAAAAATGGTGGTTTACTCCTGATTGATAGTCATGAAAATACTGCAATGACTTTTTCTAATAGGAAGATTTTTGGTATTAGAATAATTTTCCTAATTTTTCCACTGGTGTTCAGAAAATCCAAACTGCCTAAGGAAAGTGAATTTCCAGGAAGTTGAGTATGACCTCTAAAAGACAAAAAAGGAATTTTCTGGCAGGTCTACCTTGCAGGATCCATCTGTTCCTGACTTTAAAACCAGTTTAGGGTTCTACTACTACTTCTTTGCAACACTGGCTCTTAAGCATCAGAGAGAAGGAGGAAAGGGGGGGGATAGTCTTCCTATCACTGTACTTCATGCTTTGACACCTCAACTTTATCTCAGTGTTAACAAGACAGCACTTCCAGCCTGAATCATCGAGGATGGTGTTAGAAAAGGATAAAAACGGAGGAAAATACATTTTTTTTTTAATTGAATCTGTTGTTTTTCTGGAATATTTATCTTTAAAAAACAAATTTACCTCTACAATAATACACAGTCCAACTATGTCTCTGTGTCAGAAATGTTTGACCAGGAGATGGCAGTAGTCCGTCTTCCTTGAGAGGAACAAAACCCATGTTTTATATACCAGGATAACTTAAATCTCATTCAAAGTACACATATTTAATGAGCCAATAAATATCTAGAGATTTTTCAAATGGAAACAACTGTCTGTCAGTTTTTACCAGAAGGTTGTGTCTCTGTAAGCTTTACCACTGTGAACTTCATCAGGCAAAAAGTAGAGGGTAAAAATTAATAAGAATCATTTCAAGGAAAAATGAAAACTTGTAACATGAGAAGTATAAATGGATTTAAGTAAATACAACATTTTTAAATTAAACATGTCTGTTACTGTAAGTTCAAAGCACCCAATTTTATAAAAACATCATGTCTAACAGTTGCCATTGCTGAGATAGCAAGGGACAAGGAGTACTTGCCTGAAAATGACAAGGATTTCTGAGGCAGGACCATTTAGGTATTTTTTTTTTGAGACTTTAAAGGGTAGGTGGTTGTACTGGTATTAGAGCTTAGAAAATCTAACGCCCTGAAATGAAGTGTGAATTCAGAGTCTTGGGAAGTTGTTTTGGATTTGGAGTCAGATGTAAAATGCCTTTTTCATTTAATTGATAAATACACGACAAGATTTGATTCATCTTTTGTCTATGGTCATAAATATACATGTGATAGGGCTTTCTTTTGTTGTTCAAAAAATTTTTGTGGTCTACAGAGAACATGTGTTTTTACTGAAAGAAAGTTGATTGATGTCTTCTAATGAAAGTTGAAGTTCAGTAGGGCTGCTACAATATCATGCCTGAAAGCCTAATGTCTCCTGAAAGTTACAACTGAAAAGAAATGCTGAATGAATTATTAATTGAAATGTGCCTTCTCTAGACATAGTGGAGACAGTGGTTTGAAAACATATATTTGTAGTATATAATATACATGCATATGTATTTTTGGCTTTATAATACCCTTTAATCTTTGTCCCATTCTTTCATATATCTTCATATGTTTAATGTGATAATAATTGTTGTGGTTGGTGAACGCACATATTTCCAGAACACAAGGATTTTCAGGCTTACATTAAGAGGATTCAGAATTTTTAAATTAAAATGACAGAGCAGGTGGCAATGTTTGACTGCAGAGCATTTTCAAACTTTCAGATGAGCAGCTCAGAACCAAGAGGTAGATGTATCTTCACTTAATTATTTTTCTACATCACAGACTCTCAAAATATGACCTGGAGAGCATAACTTCATGATAGTAATTCTTTTTTATCTCCAGCTAGTGAATTATACTCAGGGATACGTAAGTACATGGGAGAGTAATATTTGGACACTAAGCAATTGGCTTTGTTGCCACAGAGAGATTGCACGATTGGTTGTGGGAGCAGATGATCTGTGCAGTAAATGAATAAGAGGGCAAGAAGCCCTTAAAACAATCTGTATAAAAAATAAGGCTTCCAGAGTCCCTGTTAGGTACTAAAAATGGACTGCTTCTCTGTTAACATTGACATTATGCTGTGTTGAAACTGTAATACTGAAAATATGGCTATAACTAAATACTTCTTTGCTGTTCTTCTTCAGCCAGGAATTGCTCTGGGTTAGGTTTTGGGTTATTTTTTCTGAAAACTATTGTGGCATGAGGCAAATCTCTAACAGATGCGTGAAGGAAGGAAGAAGATGAGGATAAGGCTAAAGGTCTTTACTTTTTTCTTGGAAATGGAACTGTTTGTCAAACTCTCAACAACTATTCTACTGAAAATTTACTTTCTCCTTAATATCCTGCTGTTTCTTTTTTTGGACTGAATTTCACTAAAGGCTTTTGCTAAAGGCTGTCTATACCACCCCAAACACAGCAACTGGTGAAGCAAAACAGAGCTATTATTTCACACTGTGGAGAGCACCAGATTTAAGCAAATGTCCTGTTAGAGTTTTATGTAAATTTTTCAGTGCTTCTTCAGAACTCTCATTTCTGGTCTATTTTGACTCTGGTTTTCCTATACAATTACCTCCCAGAGCTATCAGATGGGTCATGGACATAGTTCAGTTAATATATTTTACATTTGGGCAAGTTGGGAAATGCAAAGCTGTGTTTCCCACAGAAAGTCTTTTCTGTAGGAAGTCATTAGGTTTTAGGTGCTCCAAGTGGTTTAGAACACTAGTTCTCAAAGTGTTTTTGTTGCTTTTCCTGCATATGTGTCCAAGGCAGTTGCATGATAGCCCATGTGTTATAAAACATGCATCTGAGTAACAAGCATGCATTTGGCATGATATCCCCACATAAAATCCTCAGTAGCCCCACTCGAGAGCTTCTAGTTTGAATTACTATAAGTCAACATTTAGCTGTGTTACAGTACATTTGGAACAGGAGTTTTGAATTTCTTGGCTTTTGTAAATATTATTTATCTGTTAAGAAGTGCCACTTATATCCCTGG